GGTCACGCCAGACATGACCTAGTCCGCGCGGCGTCCGAGGAAAGCATGACTATGAAAGGGGGTCGCTACAGTGTACAGTTGGGTTAAAATTGCAACGAAATATAGCCAGTGTAAGGTTTGCATGATATTGTTGGAGCAAAAATGTAATGGGATGATACATATACTTTAAAATCATGAAGTAAATGTTATGCTTGGCCTTAGACAGTTGTACAGTGGGAGTCGTCGGTTACTAAAAAATAAGTAATTAACCTGTCATTTGAGCACAACAACAGTATCGGGTATCAATATTTCATTCGAGAGGGAGTTCCACGGTCGAACAGCCCGCTGAATAGAGGAAAACCTACTTGGATCTAGACGTGCATATTTCCGTTTGACCTTATACGGATGGCCGCGAAGGTGAACCATGTTTGTTATTTCAAAAAAATCTTGAGGTTTCGGTGAACAGTAATGGATGTGGATATACCGAATGTCCTCAGCAGATCGCACCCTAATTGTCTATAGGATTGGTGAAACAGGTTAATCTTATTCAATCTTTCAGGATTGCAGTGAAGACAGGATAATTCGGTCGGTGTTAGGATTGCAGAGCTGGAGTTTGTGGTGGTTATGACAGTCGTCCAATAGGGAACGCAGGTGGTGCCCGCGATACAGCCTGGTAGTACACAGTCGCTTATTGCATACATTAGAAATCGGAGGTTTTGGTACCCACATACGGCTTCCGTATTTGCGTCAACTCGAACTCCATGTTGTGGTTTGTGGTCTTCGTCTCAGTTGTTGCTGTAGCCGTCGGTCTGTGGTACTTATTCAAGCGAAAGTTGTCAAATTTGGAAGATTCGGTTGTTCTCATTACTGGTGCTGGTGCTGGCCTGGGCCGGGTTCTGTGTCTTGAGCTGTGTAAATACTGCAAAAATGTGATCGTATGGGACATCAATGAAGAAGATATGAAGGAAACAGCCCGCCAGGCTCTTGACTTACATGGAGTAAAGATTAAGTGTCAGAAGGTTGACGTCAGGTTTGTGGCCATCTCTATAGCATTTTGTTAGTTGTACTTTGGATGTCGAAAAGGCCGCTGAAGAGGTACGACGTGAATTTGGGAGGGTAACAATTCTTATCAACAACGCTGGTATCGTCAACGCGAGATATGTGCTTGATCAAGCAGAGAAAGATGTCGAAAGGATATTTAAAGTGAATGTGCTTGGTCCGATTAATGTGAGTTCCATATCGTTATAAATTTTACTTTTATTTCTTATAGTACCAGTTCTGTCTTACACTTTTATTGTGCACTATACAACGACTCCTAGTTGTTCTTATAACCGTCCAGGATGTCTGTACCTGGAAGGCTATTATACGCATAATTTTTCATCCAAGTCCCTGGTTTGTAGCAGGGCAGAGCCTTTTGCACTAGTATCTTTTTGAAGACGGAAT